TACTGGAAATTGACAAAATCATACTGAATGGGGTCTCCAGGTCTCGAGCACTATGCGAACATGTGGCGAAGAGGGCGCAGTTCGGCTTGATAAGGGCAGCAAGTGGTAGTCAGTGAGGCTTGTATTGGCCACCTTGTTGTAGTTCTGTAAGGTTTTGGAAGCAAATGGGCTCACATGTAATATTTCGCAGCTTCTTAAGAGTTTACAGTTCTCCAGAATGAGACCTGTTGGTTAACATGCTTAACAAAAGGAACTAGCGAAAGTGCAAGTCGTCTTATGAAGCCGAATTACGCTCGAAAGAACTGTGTGTTCGGAAGGGTTCTCGTTGATACACCAGCGATATTCTCTCTTTTTCTCCTATCATGTCACTTCTCCCAGTGGGGCTTCCATCATTTGTTGTCTTGTCGAGGCTAATCACGATTATTAAGTGGGCGGAGACCCCGCACAAGAGGGTGAAAGGCACCCTGTAAAACTAGGTTTCTAGTTAGTCTGGTTTAGTAGCACCAGTTCCACGTATTTTTACACGACGAGCGGCCTACCTTGGTTTGTTTAAGTTGTAATTTGTTCTGCCAAAGAGGTTGGTAGGTGGAAGACTTTATTATAAATGGCCTGACGTTTCGACAGGATCGTCGTCCTCAGAGGCCAGTCCACCACCACATGAGCGGAACGATGCCACTCGCTGTAGTTGTCAGTTAGTAAGTAAGTTTGTCTTACTAACTGACAACTGACAGCGAGTGGCACCGCTCATGTGGTGGTGGACTGGCCTCTGAGGACGACGATCCTGTCGAAACGTCAGGCCATTTATAATAAAGTCTTCCACCTACCAACCTCTTTGGCAGAACAAATTACAACTTAAACATATCAATAATGCCGAGGTTTTATGAAGAGAGAAGCTGGACTCTACCTTGGTTTGTTGTTGGGGCAACCTACGCGAGGGAGGGAGTCCACCTTCCAGATCAGTCTCCAGATCCTTACTTTCCTAGTGAATTTTTCCCCTTTCATGCTCTGTTTCATGCTCCAAGGTCAACGTATCATTGCGTGATGGCTGAGCTCCTAGGGGGCATAAGATTGAGTTCACCTGAACCTCTATAGCTTTGTGAATTTGTCCTTGTTTTGCCCCTTTTCTCTATATCGCCTTTTTACTCCCTCATTTTGCTGGATTATTAGTTTCCAATGTAAGCGCATTCAAATGTTTTAGGCTCGGAAACAGATATTGAATATTTTGCTGCTCTTATCACAACCCTCGAGGGCTCGCCTATTAATGAACCGTCGAGAACCGCGGCAGTGGCATTTCTTTTGCAGCTGATTGTCAAAAAAGTTCCCAAAGAGGTCCTCCAGTCACAGTTCACAAGAGTCGTTCAGGTAATTTCGTCCTTGCAGTATTCATTTATTTCATTTTCTCTCATTTTTGTCTGTCATAGGTACTCTACACTAAAATGCTGGAAAACTCTGAAAGTAGCGAAGGATCCGCGCTGAAATATCTGCTATCAGTTCTGGGAGTCGTTTTGCGAGCTCAACCTGCTGGGGTATGGAATGTCGCTAACACCAAGTGAGATATCTGCATTTTTTCGCCGTCCTCTTTAGGGTTGTTTCATTGACGGTGTATTTCAGGAACATGGTGGTGTCTGTCGCGGCTCTTTGTGCACATGAGAAACCCTGGGTACGGACTATGGCTCGTCGTGTCGTTAGAGCCGTGTTAACTGATCCTATAACTGCAATGGAAAACGGCCTTCACGCTGCATCTTCCAGTGTCGGAATGTTCATACAGCAGCAGTTACAAGCAGCACTCAGTAAGTTGTCCACTCCATTAATACTTCATCTTCGGTTTTGTAGAGGGAGTTATAATCTTGAACGAGAGTAATAGCACTTTGGGGTTAAATCGTTTAGAGGATTGAAGGGCGCATCGGAAGCTTTTCTCAGTTGCCTTCTTTACATGCATTCTCTACACGAAAGGGATTTTAAAGACACATTGCACGGTTTCCATGATATGGATCCTTTCCGTGTACAAGGAGGGCAGGTTCCAAGCACCTTATTGTCCCCACACCCCCTGGATGGTATTCTTAGATAATGCCTATCGGGGAATCGGAGGCGACGAAGAATCGAATCTATAGTTGTCGATGTGAAAAAAGGACATTCGGACCGTGGAAGAATTGAAGAATCGGCGAATCAGCGAAACCGTGGGATAGGAATCGATTGGTTAGGCCTTTGCCCAAGTGTTGAATTTACGAGGTCGATTTGTATCTTGTACTGTACGAACGTTCTCCCACCCTCTGATTCTCCACTTAGAAGCTGCCTACAAACCTTGCCTCATTTTAAGGATATAGTAAAAGCGCTGGTAGTTAACAATGATCAGAAACCCCTCTCGTTCCGAATATCGGTGCTCATGAGGACGCGACTGCTGCGCGACGCTGTGATAGGTTTTCTACCCTTTGTGTGTGAGTTTGTATGTCTCCCATCTGGTGAGCATTTCTACCTCCCTGTTCACCGCATGTCCTCTCGTTCAATGCTGAAACCACCAAGTTTTATTAATGGCTTTTCGACCTTACTTCTGTGCCTTTCAGCACTAGTAAGTTAGTGAGATTCTGCGATTTCATGAAACTGAGTGACTTGCGAACACGTGTCTTCAAGAGTTAATATGTATTACAGTAACTCTACGATTTAGGCTCGAAGAACGGCGAAATGACAGCAATGCGGTACCTGTGCTTACTCGAAGGTGTTATGCATAAGATGCCTAGCAGCCTGTTCAAGCAACTTGCTGAAAATATTTTGTCGTCTTTTGCTATTGCGGATCCTATGGTATGTTTGATTCAAACACATCCTTTCGTTGAATTATCTTTCATTGAAATACATCATGGTTCAGGTTAAATGCAGCGCCTTGCAATGCCTGCACCGATGTCTTCAACGTCAACCATGTGATGCCGCACTTTCGGTTGAAACGAATGTGTTGTTAGTGAAAGCTCTCAAACAGCTTTCTCCTCCTTGTGAAGACATCACAGTTTGTGCCTACTGGATGCAGGCTCTTGCAGAAGCGCACGTGTGTCTCACTCTCACTGCCAAGGATCCCTACAGGTAAATGCCATATGTTTTTGAGTTTTCTCACCGTTTTGGGGGTATCTGTGGTCCAATGTTTGACTTGACATATTGTAGATGTGCTGGCCTTTGTTTTATTGCAGATGATCATAAAGTAAGCGCAGAGCTTTTCTGTGAGATAGAAAGATTGTGACTCGGAAAGATTAGAATATAACTAGATAGGGTGTTGTTGAGACAAGAAGCTAAATTCAGTATTACCGCCACGGTACCGTAACCCAAAGCGGCGCCCAGTTGATTGTAACTCCGCAGTGGACGTACGTATAACACCGAACGCCGGTACCACTGGAATTGTGCGGAAATGCTTCAAATACTGCAGTGTTCAAGGGTGGACGGGAATTTAGTACACATTTCGCTATGAATTCTTTTGTCTCGATAGGGAGGCTCTGAATGTTTGGCATATGGAAGGGAATTCATACCGCTGGCAACGCTTCTTTCTAAGTATTTGGATTTGGAGAATAAATACATGAATATAAAGAGCCAAATTATCCTTACTTAGGAAACTCTTTACAAGTGCTTTCCCAACTTATTCCATGAAATTTCACCGCATGCACTCTTGTAGAGAACGTTTGTGATGAAAATTTCTAACATAATTTACCGTCACATCTTGGCGGTGTTACAGAGAAACTGTGCCCCGCAGTTCCTGTCCCAACTTTGGCTCTCTAGTTTCCACAGTAATGTTTGTTCTACTTCGGAGGATGATTTCACAATTTGCAACTAGGTTTTGGAGGTAAAAAATTATTCCCAGGTTGAAAAGTCGTAGTTGTGAACGCGACCAACTGCATGCAAGTACCACCTATTCCACCTTTCGAGGCGATGAGGCTAATAAACGACAGTAGTACCACATCAATTTATTGTTTACTAAAGCGACCTTGGAAAGCCGTCTCTATCCCACATTGGTTAGCATCAAGCGTGCAGCACCGTCAAAGTGCTTGAAGCAATGGTAATACAAAGATAGATCAGGCCCATCCTCTCATCGAAATGCTCACAACGACATCCGAAACGCACATCCTTTTTCTTCCACCCACAGAAATGAAAAATATCGGTGTAGTTTCAGCGTCCGTGCTGATGTTTTTAGCGGCGCCT